CAAACCTTAACAGTGGACGAGGAGGGACCGAGGAAGGGGTTGACGGAGAGAGGTTGAAAAGACAACCGCTAAAGGGATTTGGCATCACGATCGGCGGCGGAGTTGCGCCGGCAGTCGTTGACGAACATTGTGACGAAGAAGACCACAAGGTAACAAATGACGAAGACGGAGACGATTCATGTAGCATGTTACTTAGCAAAGAAGAAGGAGGAAGACAACCTTCATCGTTGATACAATATTTAATACGATGGCTCATGATCAAGCCCAGTAATAGAGGGTCCACCCGTCCTCGACGGCGAGAGTTCCATCGCTTGCATACTGCTTTGCAGTGGGAGGTGAATCTAGGATCTGGGAGGCGAATTATTAAATATTAAGTACTACTTTGTTTTAGGGCTAACCTAATTTAGCCTAAACATATTTCCAGGATTTTTTTTTTCATTATGTAAGAAAACAAATCTCAAGTTCATAAAATCATAGTTAATAGCTTAATTATAAAGTTATGCGTTTATAGATGATGTTAATATCTTATTTTGATATTGATCGCTTAGCTCTGCCAATTACACCTAGGCGACTCATACACTCCGCCGTCATATTTTGGATTACTAATTCATTGTGGAATGCTAGACAGAACGTTTTTGCGTTGTCTAGCGCCTAAGTGCGCTTTTTTTAACCTATATCCCCATTTCAAAGGCAACATATGTAAATGGAATTAGCTCATAATTAGGGATGGCAATGAGGTGGGTTTGGGGCGGATTTACCTAAACCATCCCCATCCCCATCTTCGAATACCCATACCCGCCCCATACCCATGCGGGGGAATGTTTTGCAAACCCATCTCCATACCCGTGGATTTCGGGTACCCATGAGTAATACCCGTCCCCGTACATCCAATATTATTATACCTAAAACTTACAAGAAAAGGTTTACTCTAAACGAACCTATTATATCATGAAGTCAACAAAACACAGTCATTTTCTTAATACGATTCAAAGAATATGATCCTAAAACATCCATTAATACATAATATAGAGTACAATATTTTCAAATTATTATGCTCTAACTTTGATACATTCACTAAGTAATAGTTAACTAACATAATCTGGTTGACAAGGGTGAAAGTGAAAGAGTGAAAAGAGAATTGAGGGAAATGAATTATGTTTTGATTAGGGTGGTCACTCAATTTCATTTCTGCTATTTATTTTCTCGAGTTATCCTCATCTTCATTGATAGATTACAATTTGATCCACATATTTTTTTCTATGTGAAGATATTATCTTGGTGGGGCGGGTATGGATATGGGTATGGGGCGGGAAGGCTAAAACCATACCCGCCCCATACCCATAAAACTTTTTGCGGGTTTTACCCATACCCGGTCAAAGCGGGGATTCCCCGCGTTGACTGGGTCAGAGGCAGTCGGGTACCCGCAGCTAGGGCTGGGCATGCGGGTGGATCATCCGCGGGTTTGGGCCGACTCACCCGCATTTGACCCGAATTTTGTTAAGTGGGTGGGTCTGTGGGTGGGTGACGGGTTGCGCTGGAAGCCATCCGCCGGGTGGTGGGTGGGTTGTGGGTGAGTGTGCGGGTGACCCTCTCAACCCAACAACAAAAAGATCAAAGTCGTTGGCGCTAGAGAGAGGAGAGTGGAGACGTTAGATATAAACTCGGACTGCTCCTGGAGTTTGAACCTCAAAGCCAACCTTCCAAATAGAGATCCCCTCTTCTTCCCTTTACTTTTTCCTCTAATTCTTGTGCCTAGATCACCGCTCTTTCCTTTGTGGAATTATTTTCCTTAGTTCCTTGCACCTAATAATCGTCTCAATCTGTAGAAAACTCTTTCATAATAGAATTTCTATCCAATTTAAGAACTAATTCGACATTTTTCGCCCTATTTCAACTTCTTGTTTCCCTCGATGATTCTCTTCACCTATTATCATGTCAAGTTGACTCATTTATATTACATACGTTGTGATGTGGGTGAACCCACAAATCCACCCGCATCATCCACCATCCGCCCGACCCAACCCGAGACTAAATGTGGGTGGGTGGTGGGTTAAAAATTATCAATCCATTTAAGCGCGGGTGGGTGCATTTTATGGTCAAAATCCACCCGACCCACCCAGTGCCCACCCCTACCCGCAGCCATGGGTTTGATTGCCATCCCTACTCATAATAATATACATTAATGTATTTTATCTCAATTAGTGATTAGCTCGAATCAGAAATGATTGTGAAAGGATCGAATTCAGCTGGGACTAGTGGACTATATTGGTGGTTACAAGCTTGGCAAATCTTTATATTGTTATGCTGGTTTGACAAGTAAAATGGTTATATCGGTGGTATAACAAATTTATCCTATTATGCCGGTGTTAAAAGATAAATGAGAAAATTAAAAATCATCAATACTAAATAAATTATTTAGGAAAAAACAACTAAAAGAGTCCATTTACAAAGAATAATTTATAGTTAGGAATTGATAATTAATAGCAAACAATTAGATATGTAAAATAAAAGTATATAAAATAAAATTTATTAATGTTTACACAGGGTTGCCCAAGAGGGTGTGCTGGCCCGCCCTCCGGCACAAAGCCTTCGAATATTAGGGGCCTCCACTTAGTTACGCTTGTTATTGATCATATATTGCAGGTTGTATTTTTAGTGTATAATTGATTGATTATGAGTATGATGACGAGTTTAATAGATAATTTTAGCTATAATAACAATTGAAAATGATTTAATGGAGAATACGAAAATCAGAGAGAGATAATATATAATTTTATTTTATACAATATAGCAAAATATTACATTTTGAATAATGGTATTATAATCATTTTAGTTTTATTATAGTTTAAAGTCAATTTGGACCACGTCTCGATTTGGGAACAGGGCTCCACGATCCATTAAACAGCCTCGCACCCACCTCTCGATCAATTTAGACTATTTTCATTTCTCCATTCAATTTTTGCACTATATTCATTTTCTAGTCCCTCTAGGTTTACTTTTCTCCCTACTAGAGCTAGGAATTTGGTCTTGGTTTCTTGGTCAAACTGGAAACGGGATTGTTTATTCCTTTTGTAATCATTTTCTGAACTTATATATTTTTTATAATTATTTAATAATTTTATTTTAATAAATTTATGGAGAAAATTTTTTGGGGTCCATAAATTTTAATAATATATAAGGTTAATATTTATCACAAAGTTTTTTGTAGTCTGTTATTGTATAATTGAAACTAATGAACATGGGGTATTTGGTTCAAATCCTACTATAAGTGTTTATTTTGGAGGGCATGTTTGAAAACACTGAAATTTGGTTTATGATATGACCTACATATTTTCTCGATTTTGCGCAATTTTGACCATATTTGACTAATGCTGAATATCGGTCTTTTTCCAGTCGGTTTCGTTACTAGTTATATTAGGTTGAACCTGTCGATAGGATGCGTGTGTAACAACTATGGTGGTTACTACTCAATACACGAGTAGTGTGTGCATAGGGTCTTCCTGAAATTATAGACACCATGTTCTATAGACAAAATGTGACCCAAATTGTTTCGCAAGAATCTAATAAAATATAAATAATCTTCAATCAATAAATAAAATCATTTACAAGATTATTTAAAAGAATTAAAATAGTAAATATATTGATACATAATCAATTAACTTAAATTATCTTAGTAGGTGTTTGAGAAGGTAATTGATCGTTATTTTGGTATATACTGTTCAACTTCCGTAATCCTTAATATTAAATAACATTTCAAATTTAATCTTAATTCCAATCTCATAAAATCATACGTGTATTTGACAATATCAAATATTAACAAATTCGATATAATATTCAATATATGATATATTCCAAGCACCACTACCATTGATTTTTACTTTTTACCTTTTGACGCGAGAAGGAAAGGTGCGGCGGGATTTTTACTTTTAAACTGGTTTTCTTTTCGCTGGCGGGCAGCGCCTCGAGTTTTCTTTTGTTGGGTCGGTGTTATTACTTATGAGCCAAGGCTTACGGCCGAGCTCCAATAGGGCTCAAGATACGGTGCATAACACCCATCAGTAACCACATCTCGATCCTTCATTCAGAAAATTCATATATAATGGTGGAAAATTAAATACATTTTTTATTTTTCTCTTATTTTCTTAATCGACTCATATCTTCTTCGTTTTAACTCGAATTTCAATTTTTTACACAGTTGGAACAAGTTCATTGTGCTCTACAAAATGAGATCCATTTTCAATATTTTTTTAGGAAATTTTTTTTTGCCTCTCGATACTAACTGCATACCATATGGTATCTTCTTCGTTTTTAATTCATTTTTGAAAAATTTTGCACAGAAGGAACGAGTTTATCATGATCTATTGGATTTACAAATTTCTGGGTGAACAAAATACAGGTCCAAAAAATACCACACAATACCACCCTGTTACGGGGTGGTATCTTGTGGTACACAATGTTAAAAGTCGTAAATTCTACTATCATGTATTCAACCATCATACAGTCTTGGTTTGTTCATACCACCATGATACGCTTTTCATACCATAGGTATGCTCTTATTTCAATACCAGTCAATACCATATGGTATAGACCGGTAAAAAATAGCTCAATTTTTTTTTGCTCCAAAAATATATCAAAGTGAATATCATTTTGAAGAACACAATTAATCCGATCTAACTGTTGGAAAAAAAAAACTAAATTTCGAATTAAAATAAGTGAGAAATCGTATATTAAAAATTAAGAGGGAGGAAATTAAAGACTTTTCAGAAGTGAGAATGGGCGCTGATGTGACGAATTCTAATTGAATTATGCATTGTTATTGACGAGAAGGTTATTGACTTGATCCATCCAAAAGTTTACTATCACTGCGTATTCCCAAGTGTCAATAAACACGTGGCATGGAATTATTGGTATAATGGGCGGTCCAACGAAATGGAATCTTTCAGATACAGATCTCTTATCAAAGAGGGTCGGAGAGGCTACTCGGAGCTTTCTAAGTAAAGAAGTCTTTCTACCTGTGCTCACTTGCGACTGTGAAAGTGAAGTGAGAAACCATCATCAATTAGCGTCACACCTTCTCCCATGGACACACCAATTCCAAGTTTCTTCAGAATCATTCTTCCTTCCATGCTTGAGAAAAAGAAGCTGGTAAGTTTCCAAGGCATTCCGTACTTCTCCAAACATACTTGTAATTATCTCCGTATAGAATGGTGACCACTTCCTTTCTATCTTTCTAATTTTGTAGAAGCTGCCCCTGAAGTTCGTCAAAATGCACGGAGCTGAACTCGCGTCGACCGCTGCACTTACCTTACCGAACGGCAGAGTGTGGAAGGTCGGCGTGGAGAAGGTAACCAGAGACAACGAGGAGATCTGGTTGGGCGACGGTTGGGCTGAGTTTGTGGCGCACCACTCCATTTTGGCAGGATTCTTTGTGGTGTTTGAGTACCAGCTGGGCCGCTCTGCCTTCGCCGTCAGCATATTCGATTTCACCACTTGCTCAATCGACTACCCTAAGTCCGAGCAGCTCGATGACGATCAGACGGGTTCCCCTCATTGCATCGTCATTTCCTCCGATGATGAAGAAGGAGGTTGCGAACCCAGCACGAGAAACAAGCTCCGACGACCCAGAAGGCGGCCAACATCCGATCCCATGACCCGTAAGCCATTTGGATGTTACAATAGCAGTCAAATCGTACTATGTATGTGATCTAGGTGGTTTTACATAAGTAATTAATGAGTAGTTGGGAATTGATTTGGGCATGCAGCTGAGATTAAGGAAACGCTGGAGTTCCTCGAAGCAACCGGGATTGCGACGAGTTCCGGGTTCCACCACAGGTTACCCATGATCTACCGACTCTGCAAGCAGGGAATCGAGGAAGCAATAGCGTGCAAGCCCGAAGACCGTCCTTGCTTCGTCGCCGTGCTCAACTCTAATCATATTCGTGGGGGCACCAGGACCGTGAGTAGCATAAAAAAAATTGCCATATCTATCTAGCTCGACACAAACTTGATGATGTATTACTGTATTAGTTAATTTTTGTGGGCGCAGATAATACCAACTCGTTTTGGAAGAGAGCATAAGATTGAGAGAAGCAGCAGCAGGAGTGGGATTCTGGAGGTGTGCAATGGGGAAAATGCAGGTGAGCAGTGGAGGGTGGAGTTGGCGAGGAACAAGACAGGGCAAGAGATGTTTATGGGGGAGGGATGGGGAAGGTTTGTGGAAGACAACAATTTGGGAGAGGGAGATGTTTGCCTCTTCCAGCTGGTCTCTGCGAAGGATCCGGTGAAGATGGACGTGTCCATCTTTCCAGCCCAGCCCAGTGAATTGGTAGAATAGATATCAACATGGGCTAAGCATAGCCCAATTATTAATTGGGCTTATATTTTGTTGATGATGCTGTTTTTGTCTTAAACTTAGGTTGAACTTGAACATGAACATGTGGAATTGTGGATCCCATCCCTTGAGGTGAATATCAGAATTCAGAATATGCCTACCTAGGGCTAGCTACCTCTTGTGTTCTTTGCGTAGGTTGTCAATTGTCATCAAATAAGGTTGGGTAAATACAATTTAATATCCAAATCTTTTATTTTAAACAATATAATATCTAAACTTTTTCGAAAACAATCTAATATCCAAATCGTCAACTTTCTGTCTGTTTGATCGTTAGTTGACACTTCAAAAAAGTTCGAAGTACGACACTTCATCAATATCCATCGATATCTTCTCTAAAAAACCACCAACATATCGTAGTTTCGAACCCGAGAAGTCCATGACTCCACCATGATGGTATAGAATATCTAAATATTCAGTCATCTGCAATGCCAAAACAAGAAAACAAAGTTGTATTGTGACAATTTCCCCTAAACAAAGCTTTTTGAAGTGCCAACTAACGGTTAAACGAACGGAAAGTTGACGATTTGGATATTAGATTGTTTTCGAAAAGGTTTGGCTATTATATTGTTTAAAATGAAAGGTTTGGATATTAAATTGTATTTACCCAATAAGGTTTGTCTGAGACTATCAAGCAAGGATTAAAAAATTGTATCGTACTAGTTGCAGAATTGCAGAATATTGGTATTGGAGTTAAATCTTTTAAGTTGGCACTCTTATTTTAGAGAACAAAATACAGATTTAGACGATTTCGAAAAGCATTCACTAATTAATTGATGCGAATGGAAGAGAACAAACGACTGTTTTACCAGAGACATACATACATATGGTGGGTGATAGTAAGAAAGAAAAAATAATTGACAACAATACAAACTTTCTGTAAGATTTTTCCTAACTGTCTCTTTGTTGTGCCGGTTGATTTTGTGAACTAGTGGATTTAGGACCGTTGATTCATGTGGTATTGGTGACTCCTCTTATGTTGTGTTGTGGACTCGTGTATCGAAAAAGGGTGCTCATGTGTGAAATGAAAAAACAGTTGGTCCTCCATGTCATAAATTTGAAATTCTAAGACATGGGGTAAGCCCAACATGTGTGGCACCGTTCATTGCACAAAAATCGGGTTTTGGAAGAGAGTTTAGTGATCCTTGCAAGGTGAAGCTAAGCTGTCTCTAGTACAAGTAAATTTCCACTCGTTGAATGGTTTGCCTACTCGAGGATGTGTTTTTAAGGGCACAGTTAGAGCTTCCGACCCCCCTTAATATCATTGACCCTCCACACAAGTTGAGGAAAATGAGTTAAAGGAAGTACTCTGGCAAGTGGCAGATGTACAGAAATTGCTCTTGCTCAACCAATAAGGGTCGACCGTACAAAAAAACTGCAGTTGGAACCCCCGCGAAGTGTGAATGAGAAAAAAACAAAAGAAATATACAATGAAAGTGCGAAAGGGGGTCCCAATGATTGAAATGAAATTAAAGGGCACTCGATACAATGAGTCCTTGGTTGTTGAATTGTGTGAGTCTCCTTATTCATGAATTGATTATCTTAGTTCCACTGCTTCTCATGATCCTGGCTTGAGTCTAGTACTCGCATTGAGAGAGATAGGGGACATCTTAGAAGACCAGTTGACCTCGCAAGCTGCTAAATGATCTAGAAAATTCTCTATCGACGATCAGGGGTTGTATGTTGCTATAGAGGTCTGGAGAGCTGCATTGTTTTGAGTTAGGTTTGCTTGGGGATAAGCAAACTGTTAAGAGTGGGGGCATTTGATAGACCATTATTTGCACATGTTTTGACCACCATTCTTGAATCGTTTGAGAGTCGATTCTCGTGTTTTAAGCCAATTTCACGCTAGGTTGTTCGTTTATGACATATTTCAAGACTTGGCGTGGACGTGAAGGCGTGGAGACGAGTTTCGGGTCAAAAAGTGGAGAGTTGGAGGGAAAGGGGCTGGAAGGAGAAAATACCCAGTCAGGCTCTGAAATACCCGACCGGGTAAACTTGAAGGAAGGACTGGAGAATTTTTTTTTTGGGGCCAGGAGATCAGAAGAGACCCCGACCGGAATGCATAAATACCCGATCGGGTACTCTGGACCTCGATCAGGTATTCCCCTATCTCCACTGCGCTGCATTTCAAAATACCTGGCCGGCCTCCTGAAATACCCGACCGAGTATTATGGTCGGGTATCGCGATCTACACCCTTTTGAGGGAAAGAAGGCCACTTTTGATAGGGATCCGATTTTTGGAGATTGAGAGCAGAACCCTAGAGAGAGAAAGTGACGAACCAGAAAATCCAAGCCCCCTAGATCGATCTTCAACACCATTGTAGCTCGGTTGAAGCTTGGAGAAGTGCCGATTGATTACCAGAAACAGATTGTCACCCTTCACATAATGATTTCCGCATCTGAAGCATATTTCTCCTCTCTTTGTGGAGTAAACCTTCTCACTCACCTGGGTATGAAGAACCCTAGATTTGTATGTTAGGTCTGGTTGTATGAACCCAAGTACAAGTTCTATGATACTGATTATATTCAATTGAGGGATGAATTTCTGAATTGCATGAATCCTGATCAAATTACTGTAGTTTCTGCTTCGACTTAGAAAGAGAATATCCGCCTAGGTTGATAGAGTTCCCTTAATTGAAGGTAGTGAATTGAAGACTTAAGTCGAGGAGTCAACTCACTATTCTGTACTAGATTAATTCCAGTAGAGGAGGTTTGGCATGTTAGGGCCTCAGTCTGTTTACTCCGGTGGAGGTTAGTCGCCCGCTTAGGACTCAGATTAAGAGGGTCTGGAGACCTTTAGTCGAGACTTCAGACTGTCTAAGAACCTTCCACTGTATAATTATCATTGAAACGGGACTGGGTGAATTACAACTTGGCTTAACTACAGTCTAGGGGGAACCATATCTGGGTGTCCTCTCTCAAACTTGGAACACAACCTTTACTGCCTTTGTTTGCTAGTTTAGTTGGAACTTCACTGCAGTTGAACCGCTAAATAATAAGAATCTCACGAAGTAGTCATCACACCTAGGACCCAGGTTGAAATTTGAACCTAAGCCCGCTATACCATGCATTAGTAGGTGGTTGCACTTGGCCACTTTCTAGTGTGACGGTACAAGTGAGTCATAACGCCTGCTATTTACTTGTCTCATTGACCATTGTTAGTTGGACAATGCCCTAATATCGATAAGTCAATAGATGCAATGTACTAAACTTGTAGCTAAATTGACCATTCACAAGATGATTCGAGCTTTTACAAAAAATACAAAAGATGGTGAAACAAGTCACCACAAAATCTCATTTAGTTTGATCTTCTCATGCCCTACTAATCTAACGTTATATACCTAAACTATAGATGATCTTCTCACAAAAATACAAAAGAGGGTGAAACAAGTCACCACAAAAGCTCATTTAGTTTGATCATCTCAGACCCTACTAATCTCATTAGGCTATTGAAGTTGTCTACCATTTACATCTTAATCATCCAAATTTTATCGCTGAGATGATGGTTGGGTGGAAGGGCCTTGAGTGACATCAACTTCTGTTGGTTGAGAGCCGACTCCTGTTGTAGACGTACCAGCTGCACCTTCAAGTTGAGAGTATACTGCTTTTCCGCCTAGAGCATCTCTCACTTCTCTATCAACTACCAAATTTCTGTGCAAAGACTGAACTTGTTCACTTTTCTCCGGGCAGCTCCTAGCATTATTGGTCGTAGACTTGCATACAGAACAATGCAAAACCCTCTGTCGAATTCAAACAAAACAATAGATGAACAAGTTAATGATTCAAAACCCTCTACCCAATTTAAACAAAAACATACATGAACAAACCAAAACCAGTTTTACCTTAGGTCTTGTCGAGGCTCCACCTTGCTGCCCTCTTCCAAACGATGCTCCACCTTGCTGCCCTCTCCCTCTTGCCCCTCTGATCAGACACAACTTGGGGGTTGGTGCAACTCCTAGCATTATGGCCAGCAACCCCACACTTGGTGCAGTGCATGACCATTCCACTTCTTCTACCTGCTGTACCAGAATAGACTCCACCCTTGTTCATTCTCACCTCTAGTTCACCTGCCTCCTTTCTCCTTTTCTTTTTCGGTCGAGCCGGCATTGCTTTGAAAATCGGTGGGTAAATAGGATACCCATTAGCCTGAGACCAAACCTTCTGCCCTACTACACATGGAATGCCACTAGTGCAACACTTTTTAACTGTACTAAGTAGCACGATTCAACAAAGCCTTCCAACTTTTGTCGTATCAATCCTATAGTTGATAATGCATGGAAGCAAGGAAGGTCGCTTAAATCCCATCCCCCACAAGTGCAACAACGACTCTGGAGGTTGACAACATATGTTGCACTTCCATACGAAACTTCAGCCACAAAATCTGAACTAGCTCGGGCAACACACATTCTAGCCTTAACATCCTCTACAGCTAAAGAGCTAATGGCAGCTGGACAGAACAAGGTACGTATCCTCTCAAACTTTTTATGCTTCTTACGCATTTGGACCATTATGTAACCCCTTATTCCCTCAAACATTGCAATGATCTTATACTCCCTAACTTTGACTATGACATTATTCCAGCTTTCGCATATGTTGCTTTCCACTGAATCTGACTTAGGGACTCGAGACAGAAAAGCACGACAAAATGTTTTGGGATCTTGGTCCATAAAGTCCTTAAGTGGAGTCATTTCAGTTTGACTACCTTGAAATTCTTCCATCTTCTTCGTGGCAGCACTAAACTCTGCCTCATTGCACGCGTAGACAGCGTGCCAATATGTTTTTCTCATTTCAACGTCTTCACCTTCATATTCCAATTTGTGAAAATGTGGCAAGAACACTTCCTATACTACGCACTAGACATCACCTGATTGATGGCTTCAACTAGACCCCGTAGTGCATTAACAAACAACGACTAGACAAGTTTCCCTTGAAACAAGTATGGAATAAAAAGGCAGCAACAATGAGGTTCAAATATATTTACCTTTTGCTGGGCAGAAACAATACTCCATCCACCCCCATCACCGAAACCCAATTCATCTTGCAACTGGTTGAGAAACCAAGTCCAGTAGCTCTTGTTCTCACCCTCAACAACTGCCCATGCAAATGGGAAAATATGATTGTTTCCATCCTTCTCCACCGCCGTCAGCAACATTCCTAGCACCTCACCCTTTAAAAAGCATCCATCTATTGAGAATATTTGTCTACAACCAGCCAAGAAGCACTTCTTCATATTAGAGAACCCCACACAGAATCTTTTAAAATATACCTTCTATGTTGAGACATGATCTGCGTCAATCTCAAGGATGAACCGCCCTTCTTTATCTGCTGCCAATAGAGCAGTCACATAACTTCGCAGTTTGTGATACTCTTCTGCAAGTGTCTCATGTAGCATATCCTTAGCAATCGCCTTAGCTTCATAACATGTCTTCACCTCAACATCAACTCCTAGCTCTCTTTTTACCTTTATAGCAATAAGCGGGGCCTTCCATTATGGCTCACTTTTGAAACGATCGATGAAGTGTTCTGATATGAACCTAGTAGTGGCCATGTTCACTCGAGTCGACCTAGTGCATGAATGGGGCAGGCCGACCCTCCTCACCATTAAAAATGAGTTCCCTCCCCACCATGCTGCATATACCCTCCACTTGCAACTATTATCCTTACAAGTGAACTCCCTCCTACCCGGATTACTTCTTGTACACCAAACACTTGCCCCATTCGCAACTGCATATTTGGAAATGGCTTTTCTAAACTCTGCAGCACTCACAAACTTCAGCCCAACACGGATGTCCAATTCCTTGTGATCAAAGTTAGGATCATACAAAGGCAGCTCATCAAACATCTCGATCGGTTCCTCGTCCAGCAACCAAGGACGCCTATGAGTAGAAGCTGGTTGTTGTTCTACTTCATCATCATCAGCCTCATCTAGATCATAATCTTCATCAGCCTCATCCTCCTCCATGTTCTCACCAATGGGTTGTTCTACCTCTTCCCCAGAGTCATTATTTGGACTGCTGACCTTAGCTCTCTCATTGTTTTCCATGGATGGTTCGGCTTCACTAGAGTCCGCCATATTAAATATGTTCTTAGCAAGTGATCCTTCACCAACTGATTGTGCAGCATCGTTCAAAGCCCCTACAAAGTAGCATGCACTGTCGTTGTCACCCATTACCCCATCATCAGTCTCAATAGCATCAATGAACACCAAAATTATCTTCGTCTAAGCAGCATCAACTAGCAAACCATCCATCACTTCCTTATCAGATCTTATTTCATGGAGACCATCTGCCATTGTCATTCTGGGGGTCAAGTACCATATCTTCCGGACTCCTTCATAATTCAGGTGCTCCGTCACCAATGTCAGAATTTCAAAATATGATATTTCATCTACATCAACCGTGAATTTCTCACAAACCCCCCCACCCCCCCAACATAATGTGATCCATCACCCGAGAACTCCATCACTCCTCCATGATGATAATCAAGACCCAAATAGTCATTCATCTGCATACGGAACCAAAAAACGACATTGTCAATCAAACATGAATAAGCAAGAAGCACCAGAAAACAATAAAATGTCCAGCATTGAGAAAGCAAGATGCACCAGAAGCAACACACGCAATAGACACAAAAACAAGAAATCATAAGCCAGAAGCACCCAAGAATTTTTTAACAAATCGAGGCATAATTAGGGTTCAGTTTTCGATTCTCAATCAAAGAAACTGAACTTATCGATTCTCAGTCCCTGTATAGTCTCCACATTTCGCAAATTAACCTAGAAACCCTAAAATTACAGAAAGGGTTCGATTTTGAAGACAAAATTTTGTACTTAGGGGTTTCAAAAGGGATAGGGTTTGAATCGGAAAGCTGGAACCATCTTACCTTGCTCGAAGGTGTCTCGGCCAAAGATTAGCCTCTGATTGAACTGTCCCTCTCTCTTAGTCTTCAGATGCATTCTTAGTCAGGCGTCGATCTTTGGTTCGGAACACAGTGGCGGCGGCAGACTTCTGGAATCGGTGAGGTGCAACGGTCGCGGTGGTTTAACAGGCAATGGCAGACTTCGCTGCCTCGCCTGCCAGAATTGGTGGAGGAGATCGTCGAGCGGAGATGAAAGTGAAGGGGAAGATACCAGAGGAGGGAAGGGATAAGTAACACGTGACTGGGGGTGGGGGGTTTATTTTTCCTTTCTTTTTTTAAATCATTATTTTTTAGGTTTACAATTACAACCAAAATTGAACGCCACCTGGATGCCAACTCAGCATTATCATGCCTAGTCAGCAAGAGTCCAAAATGACGTCGTTTTGGGGGACGGTACGAGGCGGATACTAAGAGATCTATCGCCACCTGTTGCCCGTTACTTACGAATTTCGGGTATGTGATAATCCGCCCCTTTACCCACGACGGACGGGTAAAATGCTAACTATTTGGGCAGGGTTCGGGTGGGTATCCGTCGGGCCGGTTAAGGTTGCCAATCCTATCTGTTGGGCCGGTGTTATAGGCCAAGGCATACGGGGCTAGCTCCAAAAGTTCACTGTCACTGCGCATTCCCAAGCGTCGATAAACACGTGGCTTGAAACAACTGGTAGGCTGGCGGTCCAACGCAATGGAAGCAACTAATACTAAACCAAATGGCCTTTCAGAATTCAGATACAGAGCTTTTTATAGTTTTCTCCCTGTGCTTACTTGTTGTGACTGTGAAACCATCATCAATATGGCTGGGCGTGGGGGTGGCACTTCGCATGCAGCTGCCAAAATCCGTTCAAAATCTCTGCCTTCTCCCATGGACGCACCAATTCCAAGTTTCTTCAGGATCATCCTTCCTTACATGCTCGAGAAAAAGAAGCTGGTTAGTAACCAAGACCTTTCCGTACTTCTTCACACATCTTCTCATTGTCTGCTTAGCTTCCTTTCTCTTTGCAATTTTTGTAGAAGCTGCCCCTGAAGTTCGTCAAATTGCATGGTTCCGAACTCTCGTCAACGGCAGCACTGACCTTACCAAACGGCAGGATATGGAAGGTCGGCGTGGAGAAGGCGACGAGGGACGACAACGAGGAGATCTGGTTCGGCGACGGTTGGGCTGAGTTTGTGGAGCACCACTCAATTTCCGCAGGTTTTTTTCTGACGTTTCAGTATCAGCGAGGCCTCTCTGCCTTCAATGTCCGCATCTTCGACTTCACCACCTGCTCAATCGACTACCCTAAGACCGAGCAGCTCGATGAGGAGACGGGCTCCCCTCATTACATAGTCATTTCCTCCGACGAAGACGAAGGAGCTTGCGTCCGACCCAGAAGGCGGCAAACCTCCGATCTCATTACCCGTAAGACAACATTTGCATGCCGGTGGTTTTACATATATGATGTGAGTAATTAATTAATTAATCAATTAAGTGGTTGGGAATTGGCGATTTGGGAATGCAGCTGAGATTGAGAAAACGCTGAAGTGTCTAAAAGCAAGCGGGATTGCGACGAATGCCCTGTTCCACCTCTTGTTACCCAAGTTCTACAGACAGAGCAAGAGGGGAATCGAGGAAGCCATTGCGTGCAAGCCCAAAGACCGTCCTTGCTTCATGGTCGTGCCAAACGCTCGTCAGATTCGTGGGTACACCAGGACCGTGAGTAGCAGTCGTTCTTTGTGTGAATTTTTTTTTTTGGGGCCATATATAGCTTAAGCAAACATGATGTTTTGGTTAATGTGTGCAATGCAGATGATACCAACTCGGTTTGGGAGAGAGCATAAGATTCAGAGAAGAAGCAATAGGAGGGGGATTCTGGAGGTGAGCAATGGCGAAAAAGCAGGTGAGCAGTGGAGGGTAGAGGTGGCGAGGAACAAGACAGGGCCAGAGATGTTTATGGGGAAGGGATGGGTAAAGTTTATGGAAGATAACAATATGGGAGAAGGAGATGTGTGCCTCTTCCAGCTGGTCTCTGCGGCGGATACTGTGAAGATGGACGTGTCCATCTTTCCAGCCCAGCCCAGTGAATTGGTAGAGTAGTGATCATCGTGGGTTATATTACTGTATGGGCTTGTATATTGTAGGCGATGCTATTTTTTTCTTAAAATTAGGTTGAACAATGAACACTAGAGGTGAATTTCAGCATATGCCCACCTAGCTACCTTTCGTTTCTTTGCTTTTGATGTCGTCAAATAAGGGTTAATATGGATGGAGTTCTATATGACTTTTTAACATAGTAGTATATTAAAACGTCTAAATTAGTTATATAAAATATATATGTTACTAATTTGTTTGGAGTTCATATATCTTTTAATCGAATAGTGTATCAAGATATATTGTGACAACAATTGGGTTGGAGAATGCGATTGTATTATAAGGGCATAATTGTAAAGAGCGAGCAAGCTCAAATTGACGTAACATAAACCCTATTAATCCGAAAGCGCCGTGGAGAGCAACAAAAGTCCACAGACCGCCTAATTGACACCAACGAGTAAAATCCCCTTGTGCTTCAGGACCCCATAGTAACAACAAAGAATGGGCTAAACTATTAGCAGGAGTAGAAACTGCGGCAGTTAAGAAGTTGCATCCTTCCAAATAGGAACTGGCTAATCCATGAGTATACCACGAGGTTACAAAGGTTGTTCCTGTGAACCAGCCCCCTACGTTGGTTACATTTCTTTATGTTATTTGTACCAGTAACCGGTTTATGGATGAGTGCTCTTGGAGTAGTCGGTCTGGCTCTGAACCTACGCGCCTATGACTTTGTTTCTCAGGAAATACGTGTAGCTAGGGATGGCAATGGGGCGGGTTTGCTTAAACCATCCCCATATCCATCTTCAAATACCTGAACCCATACCCGCCCCATACCCATGCGGGGAATGTTTTGCAAACTCATCCCCATACCCGTGGGTTTCGGGTACCCATGGGTAATACCCATACCTAGGGCTGCAAACGAGTCGAGTCGAGTCGAGTTTTTGCTTAGCTTGAGCTCAGCTCGTTTATTAATTTTTCAGCTCGAGCTCGGCTCGAACTCGAATTTTGATAATCCAGCTCGAGCTCGAGCTCGGCTTGAATAAAAATAATCTAGCTCGAGCTCGACTCGGTAGAGCTCGATAAATGCTCATTAACATAGCTTGTCAAGCTGAGTACAAGCTCTGGTCAAGATAGGCTCGATTTAAAATCATTTTTGCTGGAAAAATGTATAAACATAAGAATTTAAATGATAGAAAGAACACTAGAAACTATAAAAAACATCTAAATTTCATTCACATCTGTATTAGAAGACAATGTTCATGTTTAAAAGAGTAATTCATCCTTCCACAAGCTCAAAACAAGGCAGCTCGCGAGCTTAGCTCGACAAGCCACCGAAACAAGCTAGCTCGCGAGCTTATCAAGCTGAGCATGGTCTAGCTCAGGCTTTGCTCGTTAACTAACGAGTTGGCTCGCGAGCCGGCTTGTTAAATAACGAGTCGAGTGTCGAACGAGTTTTTTCCGATTCGAACGTCGAGTTGCTCGCGAGCGGCTTGGCTCATTTGCAGCCCTACCCATACCCGTACATCCAACATTATTATACCTAAAACTTACAAGAAAAGTTCTAATTATTACTCTAAACGAACATATTATATCATGAAGTCAACAAAACACGGTCATTTTTTTAATATGGTTCAAAGATTATGATCCTAAAATATCCATTAATACATAATATAGAGTACAATATTTTTCAAATTATTATGTTCTAACTCTGGTACATCTACTAAATAATAATTAACTAACATAGTCTTGTTGGCAAGGGGGAAAGTGAAAGAGTGAAATGAGAATTGAGAGAAATGAATTAGATTTTGATTAAGGTGGTCACTCAATTGCATTTCTACTAATTATTTTCTCAAGTTATCCTCATCATCATTGATAGATTATAATTTGATGCACATATTTTTTTTTATATATGAAGAAATTATCTTGGTGGGGCGGCTATGGGGATGGGTATGGAGCGGGGGAGGCTAAAACCATACCCGCCCCATACCCATCAAACTTTTTACGGGTTTTACCAGTACCCGCCCCATACCCGGTCAAAGCGGGGATTCTCCGCGTTGACTGGGTCGGGGCGGTCGGATACCCGCGGCCATGGATTTGATTGCCATCCATACGTGCAGCGGAAGATTTTGGATTTGCGACTTTCTACACCAAAAATATTCTCTTAAACGAAGGTAGTGTTAAACAGAATTAAGATAATAGTGGGAAACAAATAACGGTTATGAGACAATAAAATCGGAGTAAAAGGAGACCAGTTTGAAATTTATAAAAAGAAACGAGGACATAATTGGAACAAAAAATATAATAACACGTTATTTGGAGAATAACAGCCCTTCCCTCTAGTATTTGTCAAATAACAGGTTTGTGGTATTTGAAGAATACTATGTGTCAAATGTTGCATCATTTTTTCTCCACCCAAACATGTTATTTGATGTCCAATAACACATTTTGTGTTATTTGACCTCAAAATAACACACCCAAATCATGAATCCAAACAACCTTTGATTTCATGCTCGCCTAATCTAGCGTAAACATATTTTCAGGAAAAAGAATATCATTAACAAACATTTTTTTAATAAAAAACAGCCCCTATATGTTGGTTCTTTCTACCTAATAAATTAACTGTTCTGACTAAAATATTGTACCCTTTGTATCTAAACTCGCACAGTTTTGCCTTAGATGTATTGAGGTAAGTTTTCGAGCGGATAAAAGAAGTCACCACTATAAACTCCCGTTAAGCAAAGTGGTAAATAGGAGGTGCAGAACGCCAGGAAAAGAGATGATCTGCAGAAATCTTTGTGATGTTCCCTCTAGATCTGAAGCAAGGGAGAGTGGTTTCTCTCTCTTTTTGACTCTTCTACCCTGACCTCACCACCATTATCTCTTTTGAAACCCCATTCCATATGAATCCTCCGCCACATTTCACTCTTCTCCATCCACTATCACAAACTCTAATGCGTCATTAGCAGATACAGTCCCAGAAACACCACTGCAAGATGAACCTCTTGTAAAAGCACAACCTAAACAAGATGAACCCTAACTTAGATGATTCCTATTCATGTCACTCTACCTCATTTCTTTGTTGATTGTTGCAACTATCCTCTTCACTCTGTTAATTCATATAATAATCTATCCTCTGCCTATAAACGTTTTGGCTTAGCCATTACACTATATTCTGAACCTAAGGCTTACAAACAAGCTATTACAGATCCATAATGGATCAGATTTATGAATCTCAAACTTAAAGCATTGCAAGTCACACATACTTGGACCTTAGTTGATTTACCACTTGGTAGTACTGCTATAGGCTGTAAATCGGTGTTTACTGTTTAGAGTCTAATAAAAGGCTGATGGTTCGATAATTCCTATATAAAAGCCTTGGTTACTTGCACTGTTCATTAGTGGGCTCCACGCTCATTTTCTGCGACTGGCCTTCGTCCACGAATTAGCTCCGTATTGGGCCACATGCCACTCTTCCTCCTCTCCCATAGGAAAGCAAAGCACCCTTTTACCCGACTCGTCGCCGAAGACACGTTGGGTTTCTTTATAATCCGCAGGGATTCCTATATCAACTTGCTCTCTCTTCGTTCTGTCCTTACCCTTGCGACCTGTCTTCTCCACCTCGAAACAGTCTCACTTCCCTTCTCCATTCTTACACGTTCCCATGGCGCAGAAACGCTGCCTTACTCCTTGGAACTCACCACAGAGAGCAACGTCCTTTCTCCACTTTGCTTCCTCACAAACCCCCTTCCTTTACAAGACTTCGTATCCCATAGCGGCGGTACAATTGCAACTTCCTACCCCCCTACGCTGCTTCCAACCTAGGGTTTCCAATGACGCGCGCCACCGCCCACCGCCGTATCCGCCGCAACAGGCCGCCTCCTACCGCCCCCGGAAACGACTCAGCGACCGTCGTCGCTAACCGCCGTGGCCGCCGAGTCGCCAAAAAAACAAACGACCCTGCCCCCGCATCTTCGCGCGGCACCGCTAACCGCCGCAGCCGCCGAACCACGCCACCGCCCCCATCCCCTGACCCTGACGACCCTGCTCCCGTCTCGCCGCGATGGAACTCCCACAAATTCCTCCTCGATGTTACCGACGCTGACAGAGCTATCGCGCTCAAACTTCGCCTCCTCCATGTTTGGAACTCCTATGCGGCTTCTGACCCAACAAAGCTCTTCAACTACTGCACCCTTTGGTGCGATGCAATGGTGAGCACCTTGCTTCTTGCGCTCACTTGGACACTTTGATTTGCTACTCACCTTTTCTGCATTTCTGCAGGGCACACTGATCCACGGCGAAGCCACCATCAATCTTGCGAGCCAATTTTCTGCCCTCATATCGGTCGGCAAGGTCTACATTGTTTCGGGATTCGACCTCCAGCCTCCTCGCTCCGTCTGTAGACCATGTTCACACCGCCTCCACATGGTCTTCTCCCGCAACTCGACCTTCACCGACCAAACTGACTCCTCGCCTGATTTCTGGTATGATTCCTTGTTCGGTTCACTACACCCACGCATGCTCAAGGGTTCTCAGCTAACAGGTCTTGCTCCATCCTTACCTTCTACAACTTTTCACATTGCCTTACATGATTGCTCGATTTATTTGTTCCCCAGATATTATTGGCAAGGTTGTTAGCATCTCGGGTGTCACTCATTCTAAGACCAAACATGGCAGGACACCTCGCCAAGACATCGTTCTGGAAGATGCAAGGTACACTAAGTTCCCTTTTATGCTCTTCAAATAATTTTTCGTTGAACTTATGCCTCACTTGCAATTGACTACACGCATGGACATATAAGCTATTACTAAGTTTACCTTCCTGTTGAAAATACACTTGCTTGCCACATCTACTTAAATAGATTCTGCTTGCGACCTGATTATGTATGCTAGGTTTGCCTGTTCACTACTGTGTAGAAACCTTCTTCGCCTGCCAAAAAATACCTTCAAGTATCGCTATCCTTTGTTGTCTTCCTGTACTATCTTCTTTGTTGTTGCAATCCTTTTAT